CAACAGTTTCCATGGCGATTTTACTACACAACATGGCTGCCCCTGGGATCAGGTTGACTTCTATATGATGCACATCGTTGCAGAGCATACACAAATCTTTAGCTAGGCAGCTACTATAGACATGCTCCACAATCCCTCCCCTTGATGCTCGTAGTATTTTTATTTTTTATATTTAATTCTTTGTTTCCTATTTTTATATTTTCTATATTTATACTTGCACCGACGTGCAGTACCAGTAAACTGTTAGCTATCTGTTTTTATGTAAAATCACTGACATGTTTATTTTTGTTCATTGATTAAATAAATACTATTTCACAAAGAACTTGTATCCCGCAGTTTGTATTAAATCGTAGTGAGATGTAAACTGAGTATGTCACCAAAACACACATCAGTGTTAATTCATAAATCTAAATTAGATGATGTTGATTTATTGATGGAACAGTTTTAAAGGCACAAGAGACAAGCGTAAAAAAAATGCAGATCTGTTTGTTTCCAGCTCCTTCATATTTCAGTTTTTTCTGTTTTGCAGACAGCCCGCACCTCGAGCAGCCCGAGATCTTCCTGCTCCTCCAGACTGTCATCAACATCCTGCTGCCTCCTCGGATCATCTCCACCTCTCGCACCAAGAACTTCATGCTGGACGCTTCGCCGGCTCATTGCTCCACGCCGGGCGACACGGGGAAGGACCTGCGCAGAGAGGGATTAGCCGAGTCCACGAGCCAGGCTGCGTATCTGGGTGGGAATGTGACGATGACATTTTCCAACAGGATGAGTGAAGATACATGCTGCTTCTTTTATTTTTAATTGCGTGTGCATCTTCTCCGCAGCTCTGAAGGTGGTGTTGGTTTGCTTTGAGCGCTCGCTGGGAAACCAGTGGTACCGACTGAGCCTGCAGGTGAAAGAGATGGCGCTGAGGAAGGTTGGCGGCTTGGCCTTCTGGGACTTCATTGACTTCATTGTCCGAACCCGGATCCCGATCTTTGTGCTGCTGAGACCTTTCATACAGTGCAAGGTAAAGACTCAGACTCAGGTGTTTAACGTCTTTTCATGTCCCCGTGTCTTCAAGTTGTTTTTACCTCTTCTCTTCTAGTTGTTGACGCAGCCTGCCGACTCCCAGGAGGAGATCACGGCACGCCACCACATCGCCGACCAGCTGGAGCGACGCTTCATCCCTCGACCTCTCTGCAAGAGCTCCCTGTTCGCAGAGTTCAACAATGAGCTGAAGATCCTGAAGGAGGCTGTGCACAGCGGCTCTGGTCAGAAAACACGCAAACGAAAACTTCATTGTTGATTCTGTGAATTCTTTCATGTTCTGATTCCATCTTGACCTGCCCCCCCACCCCACAGCTTACCAAGGCAAGACGTCCATCAGCACAGTGGGCACCTCCACCTCAGCGTATCGCCTTAGTTTGGCCACAATGTCGCGCTCCAACACCGGCACCGGCACCGTTTGGGAGCAGGAGAGTCAGCCGTCACGCCAGCCGTCTCAAGACACGCTCAGCCGCACTGATGAGGACGAAGAAGAGAGTCAGAAACTCTTCCGTTCTACTTTCACTTTCCACGTTTGTAGAAGGTGAAGTGGACTCACTTCCCTCCGTCCTTCTCTCCGCAGACGACTCCATCAGTATTCCCAGTGTGGTGAGCGAGCACGAGGCCTTTCTGCCCAGGGTCATAACACAGCGGCGTTTCTCCAGCCACGCCACCGGCTCTGCAGCCTCACAGCCCGAGGCTCACCGCACCACCATGCTGCCCAGCCACAGGTAACCCCCCCACAACACAAATACAAACTGACAAACACACGACGACACTTGATAGAATGGTGGCGTCTGTATCAGGAATATTTTAGCTTCATTTTTGTACAATGAGAGAAGGAATGAGAATAAAATCTTCTTCCAAACAGAGAGATCATTTCTGTTCCTGTTTCAGGTTTGTTTATGTAACATGTAGAATTTAAAGTTTCATATCCCACAACCACAGTCATTTTTTTCTGTGTATATCTCTGTTTATATTTACAACATGTCTTTATTTAACAGTCTCAGTTCAGACTCTGTGTGTTGCTACGAATACTTAGAATCGATCAGCTCCAGTTTTGGTGCTCAGACTAAGCGAACGCCCTGGTTTCCTGCCCTCGCGACGACGGGGCTCAGGGATTCGGTGGTGATGGATCTCGACTTCTCTCCCTAAACTCCCACTCTCCCGCTTCGCCCCGTTTTTACAGTGAACCCAATGTGCTAGATGAGTCCCAGGGCCTTCTGCAGGAGGGTAACCTCTCTAGGTACAGTGGCCCTCTCTGTGTGTGTCCCGTTATCTGTCTGCCAGTGGGAGGGGCATTGCCTCAGGACGGCCTCCTCTATTGGCCGTCGATCACTCATCCGCATCCAGTCAAATCGCCTTGGCCCGTCACCCCCCCCTCACCTGTCTCTCCCTCTCTGTGTGGCCTTGTCTCTCTCCTCCTAACCCTTCCTCCCTCTGAGCTCCACACTGACCCTCATCTCCTCAGCTCATCTGCTGTGCTTCCCTAACCAGGCCCCTCCCGCATAAGGAAGTAAAAAAAAAAACATAGACGGCCCCGGGGGGCCCGGGAGCTCTGCCTCTGTTTCTCCTGTGTTCGCTGTGGGTCTCTGACAGTTGATGTGCCATCACCAAAGTCAGCCTCTCTCCCATTGGTGCCATGGTGTCTCATACTGTTTCTGTGTCTTCAGGCTTCTCACTGATCACATTGGGCGTCCGTCTCTGGATACCAATCTGTCGGGGCAGGGGGAACTGGGGCGGCAACTCTAACAAGGACACTGACGTTTGATTTATTAACTTTGACTGTTAATTCACCTGATGTTTCACACTTGAATCTCCAGTAAATCCACAAATAATAATAATAATAACAATAAAACACACTCTCACATCAACACTCGAGTTTCTGTTGTGTCAGTTGCTGCTCCAGCCCCAACCGTCCCCTGTTGTGTTCTCAGTGTATGAATCATGGCGGCAACTGTTTTCTCTCTGCACTGTGATTGGATGTCGTGTAAACATACGTGTGTGTCCAGTGAGTGAGTTCGTAGAGTAGCAGTGACATCTAGTGGTCAAAGATGTGATCAGTGCGTGAACACAGCTCAGGAGATGGTTGATCCCTTAAAGGTGATGAGTTTGTGTCTTTTGGTCTATGTGTGTGTGTGTGTGTGTGTGTGTGTGTGCACGTGATTAACTGAACCAGGGTTGCCAGTGTGCAGAGTGAACCAGGGCAGCATAACCTCCTGTTGCAGCCTCCGTTAGGAAGGAAGCGCGGCCTCCGACAGGTGAGGACGTCCACGTTAGTGAGAAGTAATCAGAAAATATAAAAAGTGAACGAACATATTTTCCTCGTTGTTTGTCTGTGAAAGATTTTTATCCGTCAAGATAAAATAAAAGTTTTCACTGTGTTCCTTTTCTTACTCTGCATGAACACAAACCTGCTTGAACGGCACTGTGACTGTCCTGCAGCTGCGGCGCCCCCTGCTGTCCATTCCAAAGAATGAACCCCGGGATCGATCTGGAGCTCGACTCTCGACGACTCGCAGGAGCATCCAGCCCAAGAGCAAACCGCTGGGTAACGTCATCACTGTGTGTGTGTGTGTGTGTGTGTGTGATCAGTCTCCCCCCACTCTTCAAATCAGCACACAGACAGACACCAGATCTGAAGCGATGAGACGTCTCCTCTCGTTGTGTGTGTGCGGACTTGAAGTGACCCGTCCTCCTGTCCTCCTCTTTGTTCCAATGCTGTTTGTTTTGTCTCACACTGACTCTCGCTCTGTTCTGTCTCACGTTTCGAAATAAAGAGACTTTATTGGACTGTGAAGGTGAGACACGACCTTTAACCTTTCCTCTCCTCCCTGCAACGGCCCGCCCCTTTTTATCTGCAACCTCACCCAATAGGACGCTCTGCATGTCTGTCTTGCATACCCCCCTCCCAGCCCCTGCCTCCCCCTCCTGTGTCCCCTCCCTGCCTCCACTCCTCTGTGATGATGCTGATGTGTTAGAGAGTCACCAGCCGGCCTTTGACCTCGTGCACGTGTTGCCCCCCCGCAGCGCACGGAGACCAGAAGAGGTCAGTCACCTTTACGGAGGCGTCCGCGGGGATCGGCAAGCCCCCGACCCCCGGCGCCATCGACCCCGCGGCCGAGGGCAGGAAGTCCAGTCCAGCACCTTCTAAGTCGCCCACGCTGGAGGTGCCGACCGCCTCGTCTGCCACGGTGACCGCCGACCTGCACGGTCCTGCGAACACACAGGTACAGAACAATCAGTCGCCATGGAAACCCAGTAGGAAAGGATGAGTGTGATTCCAATGATAAGAGGTGTTGTTGTGTCCAGGGTCCTGGAGCCATAAGCAGCAGAGAGAAGAGAGAGCAGTGGGGGCTCCGCAGCAGCCTCTCCCCTCCTCCCTCCATCTCCAGACCCTCCACCCCGACTCCCCCGTCCCGAACCTGCTCCCCTCTCCCTTTATCCCGCACTTCCTCCCCCCTCCCTCCACCGCTCCCGGTGCTGGGTACGACCCCGGCCCCGGGCCCCCCTCTGCCTCCGCCGCTGCCGCCTCAGACCCCGCTCCTCCTCCCTCCGCCTCCGCCGGGGCCGTCCAGGATCAGAGAGAGCCCCGGGGACGAGGACACCACCGCGCTCCTGCCCCGCAGCAGCACCCTGCTGCAGCTCAGCGAGGACGCCGGCACGGAGAACCCCCTCCTCACCCCGCTGCTGTCCCCGCCCTCTCCTCGCAGGTCGCCCCGCCGCTCGCCTCTGCCCCTCTCCCCCGTGGACCTGGACCTGGATGAGTCCCACGTGTGACGGACTCTGTCAACCGGCACGTTTCACAACATTCATGAGCAAAAAAATGAAAAAGTAAAACGGACGTTTGGATTCGTTTCACCGACGATTTGAAAGTCTTTAAAAGGTTAAACAGGAGAGGAGAGGGCTTCTGTGCCCGTCCTGCTCTCTCCTCAGGGTAGTTCTCTAAATATCTCACGTTCATGTGTCCTGTCCTGTCGTGTCCCTCCACTGTCGAACATCAACGTACAGACGAAGGCTTGAATGTATATTTATAGCAGCAAATCTACTTTATGGCTCGTCTCCATCGCAGACAGATTTATTTTATTAGATGGAGTTTACGTCAGACAGAGTTTTAACAGTCGTCACAGAAAAGGTTGATATTTAAAATGTAGAGACGTCTGTATAGAAGAGATATACATTTAAAAAGATGCTATAACTTGTACAAAGGTTATAAAGGAGATATTTAAAGTCGTTCTAAAGCTGTGTGATAATAACGATACGTGATGATGTGGAACCGGAGGAAGAAGAGTTTATATTTTCGAAGATTATCATTACGGAACAAATCAAACTATTCAAAATGAGCTTTTCAGAAATCCACGTGACTTCTCTTGAAATGTTAAAACTTTAATTTCTTTCCTTGAATTTGCTTTTGAGATGAAAATATGTAAAGTGGCAGAATATCTGACTTTGATTGAAGTGATTTGATCCGTTTTTCTTATTTTCCTCTGAACTCATTCGTCAGCTCTGAAAACTCAATCGCAGTCTCGTTCTCCACTTTGTGTCTGTGACATCGTCTCAGGATCGATGCAGTAGATGGTCGTGACCTCGTCGACTCATTCCATGCCTTAATATTAACGTGTCATTTCTCTCTGGTGAAAACCTCACACCTCCAACACCTCTACCGGCCCACGATGCGTTCAAGGTCACACTTTGAGGAGCAGAATAATATAAACCTGCAGAATCGTGGGTAAATAAATATCTATATTTACTGTAAAACTTAACTGTTCAGGAAAGGCTGAGTTCAAACAGAGTAATTATATCTATAGTTTTAACGCAGATATTGATCCGTGCCATACACCAATGCACTGTGAGTGTTTTTCTTATTTGCTGCTTGTGTGTTTCATTTCTGTTGTTCTGCCATTTTGTGAAAATGTTGTAATCGTCCGGTTACAAAGAGAGCGTGTGTCTGTGAGTTCTAGTTTGACTGTTTTATCTGACAGACGGCAGCAGACGTGCACACCGTGTTCAACACGATGTGCAACACATATCAAGTGTAAACAACATTGTGTGCTACACCGTCAGCACCATGTCAATGTCTTTAAAACACAGAGACGCATCAGAAGCGTCTCCGGTCAGAGCGTCAATCAGAGTTCCCTTTAAATGTAACGTGTCTCTGTCGGGTTGTGTCTTCTTCGTGCAAACTTAGAGTGAATATACACTTTGTCGGGATATTTCTGACGTATCTAAATAAATGGATATTGTTTACAAAGGTTTTTACTTCATTTCTAACTGAGCGCAGATGTTTGAAAGTTCGAATCCCCAGACGAAGCAAACAGTCAAAGTTTTCATTTTGAATTAAAGTTTGAAGTTTCAGTTCAACAAACTCCACCCCCGCGAGTCTGTCTAACTTGGTATATTCCAAGTTCCCCTTCTCCATAAATCCCATTGGACTCCTCCTCTTCCTGTTTGCCAGTCGGTACTTCCTGGATGCGGAGCTGCTTGGATCTGGAGCCCATAGATCTTCATGAGGTGAATCCTGTTTCAAATATCAACMCAGTTATTCGATCTTCTGTGTGTTCGACGTGTCGCTGCACGTTTTTCATTGTTCACTTGTGTTTTGGAGGAAAACTCGTCTCATTAGCTTCTCACGTCAATGCTAAGCTAAGCTAGCATCACAAGCTAACCACACCTGTGTGAAATTCTCTTGTAAAACACTTGATCACTTGTTTTGTCCGAAACTAAACTTGATCTACGTTTGGAAAAAGAGGATTTCTACTTATTTAGATTAATTCTATCAAAGAAGTTTAGTTATTCACAGTTTCATTCAAACAATAATACWATTTTARKTTTTTTGGCTTCTCTAAGAAAAGTAGGAACATTTTACTTTAATAAAATCCAAATAAAATCCTGTGGCTTTATTTTATATCTGAAATGTTTCAGAGAATTCAAATCACATCCGTTTTAAAGCTGTTGGAAAAAGTAAAGTGACCTTTATGACCAAGTTTAATAAATCTTGATAAAATGACTGAGTCAACTCGTCTGTAGGCTGCGACACTTTCCACCTCAGGTTGT